GACAGTAAGGACGATGAAAGATTCACAAAAGTGGATTTGCCTACCTTCCTGCGAGCTAACTCAAAAACTACGGCGAATATTGTGTGAATGGAATATTCAGGTGTTCATGAAGGAGAAATCAACACTTTTCACCAATACAACTTTGGGGGCCTGGCAGTCAGAGAGCTGAGCAGACGGATAAGCACATCGTCATAGAAATTAGGGATTCTGACCAAAATGCACTAGAAATCCACTTGAGATGCCGCATGCGACCAGAGATAGGCGTCCACAGTTTTCTCAGATGGGTTTAATCAAGGAGAGGACCCGGGAAGGGAAGGGAAGGCCTTATATCTGCAAGCATGGCAATAAGAGCTTAGGCGCTCTGCTCAGTAAAGCGGCAGTGTACGTGCTTCTATGGTCTTGAGAAATAGCGCCTGGAGTGAAATGGACACAGGGCCTGGAAACGAGTGAAATCGGTCAACTAGGAAGATAAGGAACGGATCCACGAGGCAATGAAGTCCTGAGTCGCATAAGCTGATAGAAGGAGAGGGGTCGGGCTAAATGACAAATGTGATGGGGCCACACTAGATTTGCCACAAAAGGGCACACATTTTGACGAGTTGAATGTAAACAAGTGAGAAGTTGTGATAGGCCGGCAGTGGGATAAGAGAGTAAAGAGTAGATAGATAAGCCAGGACAGAAAGAGGAGTGATAGTTTAACCGTTTTCGGCAGAACGTTTGTCGAGGGATTGACTTCACTTGTCTCTGACGCGTTCGTAGCTTGGTGTGGCGAATAGCGAATGATGATCCCGGCGAAACGTTTGAAAATGTACCAAGTCCACTGTCTGATGCTGGGAATCATGACAACTACTATGGCAGACGAATTTGGACTAAGTGCGTTCTATTAAGTCACCCTGACAACAAAACCAAGTTGCGACAACGAGGTCAACCCACTTCTACAAATCATGGAATGCCTTATTATGATCGCGATGTTAGGTGCATAAAAAGCGACTAGGGTTGCAACTTTTCTCCTGGTTTAATATGCTCTTTGAAACCCACTTTTTCTTCACATTTAATCTTGTCTCTTTGAACACTGGTTCCTGCGTTCTTGTTTTCAAGCCCACAAGACTCTTCGATATGGTCCTAATGGATCCTCACCTCAGGCCACTTCTGCTAATTAGTTAATATTTTGTTTATTTTCTTTTTCATAGCTCCATTCTAACCAGGTCGGAATGCTTTTTAAAATGGCCTACACATTTATAATCGTCTTAGCCGAGTATTTATAGGGTTTTGCCACCCGACCAAGAGAACCTTACTATTTGCACCTATTTTGGTCTGTTCCTTAAACGTAGTTAGCATCCTACTTAATTTAATGCTTGCCATCCTTCTACCCCATTTGAAGTATAGTCGTTTATTCTATTAACCTAGCTTATTCAGTTGTACTACTTATTAACCATGCTATTGCATGGAATCAATACATTCGCTTCCATTATTTTATATATATCAAACTAGTTCTCCGTCCTTTGTTATTATCTAATCAGATTGATTTATCTATTTTTTTCGGACTTTTAACATTTTCATCATGAAAGGGTATTGTTACCACAATTGCTACAAGTCAAGGCTACATCTTATTTTATTTCTTGATACTGGATGTTTACAGTGTAGATTATAAATATTTGTTGCCTACATGACACAGGGTACTTTCATGTTAATATTATTATTGGTCTTCCTTTACATGTTATGGGCTTTCTACGGTTTACTACTTTAAGGGACTTTCTTCATTCTGCCCTAACCATCTATTAACCATCTAATTTTATCCCAATATATCGTGCTAACTTTCGGTGATATGGTTCTCTGCTCTTAGTTTTGAATCCTAGAATGTCTTGTCTGTGTGCCTGATGAATATACTAGCGAAAATTAATTAAAATTACCAAGCATTTCCATGTCAGTTTATGTTGTTAACTTTTCCTCTGCTCACCAAGTTCATATATATATTTGATAGCAATCTAAACCTTGCCTTTTTCCTTTGTTTAGCTATTTGTTGGGATTGGATTCCCATATGAGGGCCCGGCTCCTCTGGAGGCAATAGCTCAAGGTGCTATCTACCTCAATCCCAGATTCAGTCTGCCACATTCACGTGTACAAACTGAATTCTTCAAAGACAAGCCGACAAATCGTAGTGTAAGCCTTTTCATAACTCTCAATTTTCTTATATTCGTATTAGAGTAGGGTTTCTCTTCCTGAATTGCTCTTTCCCTTTACGTTCTTTGGCATTTTGACTTCAAAATTCATTCATTTTTCAAATTGGGCTTGCAAGCAAGCTAATTGGACATTTTGTGATTTTTACTTGAGTGTAGCACCCCAAATTTTTACTCATTGATCAAAATCGAGATTTAATTATTTTTTTAACTTCTCCAGATTTCTTGATGGAAAGAAATACCTTCCGTCACTTGTTCACTTAGGACATGGTATTGAGGCTAATGAAAATAGATTTTATTTTATCCCAAAGAATAAAATATCCTTAACATCGTGCACGACTCGAATTTATGTCTCCAAACCTAAATATGTTGCCTACTAGACTAAACGGTGCTACTGGACATTAGCTACAGAGCAGTTATCGCTTTGAGGGCTGACAAGCATATCTAAACTTACTTCTATATTGGCAGTCTATCGATGAGAGAGAAGATGAATTTCATTGTTACCATTTGCTCTTAGCAGCACGATTTGATATGAATGAAATATTATAAACTAATATTGCAATCTATCTCACTTTTTGAATGTTTACAACTCATCTGATTATTCTCTTCTTTAACCAGCTAACGAGTCAAAGTCCATATATCGAAAAGGTGATTGGAGAACCATATTCCTACTTGGTCGATATGGACAATCTTACCCAGGTGGGAGAAGTATTGCAAAGGATTCGCAGTCGACCTCAGGTGAGTTCTTACTCAAGTGTTGATTCGATTCAATTGCGTCCACAATAAGGCCACAGCCTCATGGCTCTTCTTTATTCCTTTCTTATTTATTAGCTCTTTTTCGTTTGCCTTATCTAGCCTTCTTGGTTAAGCCAATAAAAGACCGTAGATCAGGCTTGGAATCCATGTATTTTTCTTCTGCTAAAATCCATATTCAAAGTCACTTATCTGGATCTCTTCTATGTCCGACTTATTGTGGCTAAATCATCTTCCGATTTAGCCCTGTGACGCGAAACTGAATATTCTCGTTTTCACTCCTACTCTCACTTGCCCCCTAGATTTGCGTCGTAATGTACAATTTTCTCATCAATTTTTTCTCTCACACAGACTATTCATTATTCACAGTCTTCATGTCCAGGTTTAGATTCACACTCTGTCGACCAACCACATATTCACCAATCGGACCTGAGCCTGCATTTAGATCAACTCGATCCTGCCCCTTCCCACAGCCGAGCCAACTGTTCAACACTAATCGGAGGCTGACCATCACATTCCACAAAATACTTTGTAATGAGATCGATTTCATCACTTGCATTTCCCCCGTGCAAAGGCATCTGTTTCTGCGGTGTTCTGGATCGCCATGGTGCCATCTTCCTTGGTCTAGGGGTGTCTTCCCACGCGCCGCCTCCAAGCTCC